GGCCGCAGCACCCACACCCACATCTACACCTTTCTCTGGCTGTCGCGCTGGCACCTCACCTTGCCCCAACACCGACACAGCCGCCGCACCTGCTCCCCACTGCCACACTGACACCTCGTCTTGCCCGACATGGGCTCCACACTTTCCTCACTGACACTCACATGGACACCCGCACCACCCTCTACGCTCGTGTGGACCGCATTGACATGCTCATTGACACCTGCACCTTCCCCCAACACCTACATGGACACTACACCTTTCCCCTGACTCCCTCATTGACACCCACGCTTTCCCCCGAGCGTGCTGACACCTTCGTGGCCTCCACACCTTCTCCAGAGACACCTGCATCGACACACGCACCTGCACGGATCCCTGTGCCAACATCCCCAACTCCACTGACACCCGCACGCAACTGCACACCAGCACTGCCATCTTCCCCGCCATCGTCCACAGCAACACCCACACCTTCCCCCCTCAGGCCTGCTAACACCCACACCAACACCCACATGGCGCTGTGACCCCCTACACCCTGTCTGGTCATGCGCAGACACTCACACTCTGCACAGCTGCACATGTGTCAGACTGACACAGCCAGCACTAGGCACACACCAGAGCGAGGACCCCACACCTTTACCACGTCCCACCACCCACCCAGAAACACCCCCACACTTACGCCTGTATGTGTCAGGCGGATGCACACCCATGATGCCTGTGCGTGCTGGGGCTGATGGGCAAGCAGGTGAGCGGGTCCGCCTGCGTGAGCCTATGCACCTCACGGGGTATGTGTGTCTGACACAGGGAAACAACAACGTGTGCACACTGTTGCAGATGCCTCCCGTGGCCAGGGGAAAGCTGCACCACACGTTGTGCGTTTCCACGTTGTGCACGAACACACCAGCATTTTGCAAAGGCCAAAAAGGGTGCGTGACCACGCTTTGGAAATCCAACTTTTGCTGAAACATCGGTGTAACAGCCCAGACCCGTCTGCATGACCATGTTGCCCTGATGGAAAAAAACACCCCACCGCAACACGGGAAAGTCACGCTGAAAATGCAGCCGGCTGTACCCAAGCATGGGGAAACGCCTGTACCAGAGTCTCCAGGTTAACACAGAGCCCAAATCCCCCGCTGCTTAATAACCTGTCATTAAACACCGCCGCCTGCACGTGCAAGTTGCGCCCATCCAGCAAATCCAAACTTAAATAAAGTATACAGCCTCTTTCGCTGTTCTTTAAAGCTCCTTTTCACTGTTAGAGCCATAAAAATAGGCCTGGTTATATATCCCTATATAAAATATATATATTTATATGTATCCATCTCTCTAGAAAGCATCTGTATATTTTTTTTTCAGTGAATGGAGCATTTGGGGGAAATGTAAAGAACGGGAATGCATTGGCATAATTATCCCGCTCGCAAGGAAATCCCCCGGTGATGGCAGCCCATATAAGAGCTTAAAGGGAAGATGATGCCTGCAGGAGACAAAGGAGACCATCGCTTTTTTTCTTTTAAACACTTTTTTTCTTTTTTTCCTCCCTTTTAACATCCTGTCGTTCCCGGCAGCTTCAAAATAAGTGAATAAATACAGCTGCCAGTTGATTGCTCCTTATACAAATACGCAGCCCCAGTGCTGC